CTTCTGTAGTGATACTGCCTCGGAAACCCAAGGAGGGGTCGCTATGAGTCGGGGCCGACTCGATGGCATATAACAACAACAACAACAAGCAACTCCTGGGAAGGAAGGGTGGGCAATCTACTTCTGTAGAGATACCACCTCAGAAACCCAAGGAGGGGTCACTATGAGTCACAATCAACTTCGTGGCAGTGAGGTTTTTTATTTTTCTTCCCTTAATACTTCCTCATATGGCAAGACTCCTCAATTAGATACAGTAACTATCCATTTACCATTAGTCAAAACATTCTGGCAACTTAACTTTACACATAGCTTCAGGCCCAGAATACATAAAATGGCTGCCACACGGCCTCAGCATTAAAACCATACACTTGTTCCAAAGGAAAGGCATTTATTCAGACTCTTACTGAGATCCTATTTTCTCTTGTTAGCATATACTTCTTAACTAACTTCGTTATCTGTCTTCCCAGAAAGTTAGGAAGGAGAGTGATGGGCTGGTACAATGACAATGCTAAGAAGTGGACTGAAAAACTAAAAATCAGATGAAGAATTGCGATAGTAAAATATGATTGTATTTTTGCATAATAAAAAAAAAGCTTTAGGTTACACTCAATATCTTCAGTTTAAGAAAGAATATACTATATATATATATTTTTATAAAGTTAATGATTCAACTCAAAAAACAGGTTTGAAAACAGCTTTGGTACAAAAACCTTTAGTTGTTTAGAAAAGTGAGAAATGGCCTTTGCTAAATAAATAGGTGCTAGCATGCATTTTTCACCTAAGGTTGACTGTAAAGAGAACTTACTGCAATAAACAGTAAAAACTGAGTTTATAGACAACAATGCATTGAGTAATGAAGTAGCTCTGATACAATCTTGATAATATTGAGTAACTGGATTTCAAATTGTAATTTTTTTTAACAGTATATGCCTTTTACATGTCATAATGGTTTTTTTTTTTTAATTTTATTTTGATTTGGGTGAAGATTTACAGAGTAAATTCACTTTTCATACAGCAGTTCACATATACTTTGTCTCATGTCATTGACCAAAATTTACAAT